TATATATATATTAAGATGTATATATAGTATATAAATCGAATATTAATGTATAAATCTTAAGATATATATATATATAGTAAATCGAATATAGCTTATATATCTTAGATGTATATATAGTATAGTATATATATTATAACGCATTGCTTTGAATATCTCTTTACAATATTTTTGTCTTTAAATTTGAATTAAAAAATTTAGGTGACAATTCTATAATATAATTTACTAGGAATTGCCTTAGATATTTTTATTACCATTTTTTTTTCTCTAACTTGTATAAAAATAATTTAAAAAATAGAAAGTTTCCGTTGGGCCCGCTTAGGCCCAGGACCGGCCCACTTAACACGGGACCGCTAGTTCGTAATCCCGGTCCCGGACCGGTTCCAACGAGAAGCCCGCGAAGCCCGGGACCGCTTAGGACCGGACCACTTAGGACCGGGCCCGGCCCACATGCCACCTTTAGGCAGAGGTGATCAGGCAGGACATGGTGCGGCTTCAGATTTTCGAGGACATGGCCCTTGATAGGAAGTTGTGGAGGTCGAGCATTAAGGTCGTACGTTAGGAGATAGGAGGCTAGTCCGATAGTGTTGTGTCTTAGGCTGCTAGTAGCTCTTGTTGTGTCCATACTACTTCATTAGGGTTGCAGCCTTGCAGCTTAGGCTGTAGGAGGCTGGTTTGATAATGTTGTCTTAGGATGCTAGTGGCTCTTGTTGTGTCCTTATTACTTCCATTGTGTCTGTAGCATTGTGCCATTGTTACTACTTATTGTTATTGCTTTTCTTTCTGCTTTCTGGTTATTACGTTATTGGTGTTATCTTTCTGATTTCCTTTGATGTTACTGCTCCACTGTCCTTTACAATCGTCGTGAGTTGAGGGTCTATCGGAAACAATCTCTTTACTCCTCCGGAGTAGGGGTAAGATCTGCATACACACTACCCTCCCCAGACCCCACTTGTGGGATTACACTGGGTCATTGTTGTATATATATTACGGAACTTTATTAAAAAGGGGGAAAGAAAAGGAGAGGAGATCATTAGTGTAGTTTGGTAATATCTGCATTACAAGCCTAAAAGCCAAACTGCAAATCCATGCAATAAAAGTACAAACCATAGGTATAAAAAGAACGAATAGATCTAGCAGTTCATTGCAAAATGGGATTTATTTCTCGTACACACACATCAACTGGACAAGTAATATAATTTATCATGATATTTTGCATGCTCAAAAGATGCAACTGCAAGATGGGATTTATTTCTCGTACACACACATCAACTGGCCAAGTAATATAATTTATCATGATATTTTGCATGCTCAAAAGACGCCACAAAAACTGAAGTTTAGCATGCATATTTCTCTTCCAAACTAACATCAAATTTCAGGATGGTACCTCATCTCCTTTCTTCAGGAAAACACCAGTGCCTTTGGGTTCATATACCTGTTCTTCAGGAGGTTCTGGATGTAGCATCTTCTTCCATGGCCTATTTGTTCGCAGAGTTGGTTCAATGAAAAGCTGAAACATCAGAAAAAAGTTGAGTCAAACAGAACCAGGTGAAGGCCACGGTGGGATCTGCAAATGGGTATCACCGCGTACTTCATCCACACTATTAGTGGGTCTGTCTTCAATGAGCTAGTAATTGAGATTTCTTATATGAGTTGTCCACACTCATTATCTCTTGGTTGATTAATTATAGAGCGGTCAATATTGGTTTGGCCCGCTGGGCCGGCCCAACCCAGTCCGTAATTTAATGGTTTTGGGCTAAGATTTTTGGAGCCCATTCAAAAACGAGGCTTTTAAGCCAAGACCAAGTATGCATGTGGCCCATGAGGCTTGATCAAGGTTGGGTTGGGCCGGCCCGTGGGCTTAATAAACTTATTTAATTAAAAATATAAAATAATATAGAAAACTAAAAATAACAAGAGAAGTCCAATCTCAAACTGGTATTTAAATACTTTTTTCCTTAAAATTTTAGTTATTTCTTAATGTTTAACTAATTAACATTGCATATAATTATAGTGGGCCGGCCCATCCCAGTCCGTAAAATGCCAAAGCCCATGTGGGCTGGGCTAGGCCATCCCGTATTGACATCTCCAGTTAATTATATGCAACAGTGTCAGTTATGCTTCACTAGCCTGGTTACTACCGGGGTTTCTAATGGCAAAGTCGATGACACTGTATGACAATCAAAAGCTGATGCCTCTCAATTGTCTTAGTCATCCAACTCCAGTTTCTCTTTCTATTTATATATTATATTAAGCTCAGAAAATTTTTGTCCTTGCTAGTTTATATTGTAGAATTTCATAGCCATGATCCTTGTTGAAAAAATCATAGCCATGACAATGCACTCGAATGTCACGGCTTGCTTATAGAAATTCTTCAGGTCATTATTAGTGGGGGAAAGGGCCAAATATACCCCTCTACTTTCATATATTGTCTATATTTAACCTCTGTTATACTATCGGGCCAAATTTACCCCTTCCGTTATACTATCGGGCCAAATTTACCCCAACAATCAGCAAACTTTTAAAAATACCCCTTGATCTGTTAAGTAATCCAAAATCTCCCAAATTCATTTTATTTAAATCACTTGTTGTTCTTTTTGGTCCACTATTTTTGAAATAATTGGCATTTACCTGCTTTCTGAATTAAAGAAAAAAAATAAGAGAAAAAAATATTAAATGATACAACCGAATAAACAAAGTATAGTAAATTAAAAAATCTAAATTAGGTAGCTTTTCTAAATTCTAAAAGTATTTACAACATCCCAATTTTAATGAATTCATTGCACCAAATGTATGGAGACTTTGCAAGTATTAGTGATTGAAGTTGAAGTTTCTCGGAGACTTTACATTGTCTAATTCAATTTTGCTTTAATTAAATGCCTACATATTTTGCACTCTTAAGTTAGTCGATCGAACTCTATACTAACCAGGTAACGATAAAATATATTTGAATATACATGTATATACATGATGATCAGCTGCATATAATACACAATAAATAGACCCACTAAATTCTACGGTGTGTATATGATTGAAAAATAAATAAAATTTTAAACCAATTTTATTTATAACAAAAGAGAAATGGGTGCATTGGTAATAAAAAAAATTATGAATAATTTGTATAATCTAGTAACTTTAGCATTCACATCAATAGTAAATTTTGAAATTAAAATAGTGGACCAAGAAGAACAACAAGTGATTTAAATAAAAGGAATTTGGAAGATTTTGAATTACTTAACATATCAAGGGGTATTTTTAAAAGTTTGCTGATTGTAGGGGTAAATTTGGCCCGATAGTATAACGGTAGGGGTAAATTTGGTCCAACAGTATAACGGAGGTTAAATACAGACAATATATGAAAGTAGAAGGGTATATTTGGCCCTTTGTGGAGGAATAAATCTCATCTCGTGATTCATAATGCAATATTATCACTAAGGCACCTATCCAGATGTACCTACAGTGCAAAAGCCTAGAAGACTGATGATAAGTTTCTGCACAAGTAATAAATGAACACACCCC